CATTAAATGCCGAAGTGAATTTAACTTTTTGGGCAAAATAAAAAAAATATATAACTAATACTAATTTGTCATATGTTTTTGGTACGAGTTTTTATAATTAAATATCAGAGGACAATAACCAATCATTAGGTTTTTATATCTGTTGAATAAGTACTAGTACTATAGAGCTCTAAAAAAAGTTTCGACAAAGACATAAAAGTATAAAGATACGACAATTGATACGTAAACAATTTCCAACAGATGGCTTTTCCTCTGTTGTTGTGATATCATAACAACAGAGCGAACTATATTAAACGTTTTAAGTGCTATATCGCAAGCTTATAAAATAAAAACATATATTTGAGTACAGATCTCTGATTTTATTTACATTTTATACACACATTATCGGGTATTGGCGGTTTTATTCTTAACATGCCTCTGTTATGCCTGATTCCACCTGGATATTTTTTCATAAACTATTTTGTCAAAATGCATTTTGTCGAATCTTTACGGTTTCTATGTCTTTGGTGTCGAATGTGCCCAGTCTCCCCTATATTTGATTTTTGGAAATTCCTGATTGCGCATTGAAACTAGAAGCTAAGTTAAAAAAACACTCAAAATCAAACTTTGTATACTACTATTTTTGCTTTAGCACGAAGGCTGTGAAATGAGTGGCTTAGTCACAAATCGAGAAAAAAATAGAAGAAAAACTGGGTTGCCTCACCCTTTGGTACTCCTTATTACAGTAAAGTACACAAAGTTTTCACGAAACTAAACTTTATGGGTCAATTTCATGAAAAGTTTGCACTGACAGATCAATAAATCAATCAATAAATCAAATTGATCAGGGTAGGATAATATCTAAAAAAATCGTGAAAAGTGAAATGAAGCACAAAAAATTGTTATGAAGCGCATATTTGTTTCATTCCTATCCACCAATTTTTTTTTTTTTTTTTGATTTAATTCGAATCTACACTAATTCAAGAATGCTATTATGATTACATTATTGTGTCAGTCATTTTTTTTACATTTTTCTCTTTTGCGAATGGCGAAAATTTAACCCAACCGATTCCAAATTTTTACACGTTTCTCTGTGAGTGTATAGCTATCGTATGAACTAGGATAAAGCCAATCCGTGAAGATCTTTCTTACTTTTAAACTTGATTTTTAGTCAAAAATCGGCGATTTTCCAAAAATATTTTTTCTAAGGTCCGCCATTTTGTTAATTTTAGAGCGAAGTCAATAATCCTAGTTCATACGAAAGCCAGACATGTACTCTTTCTAACACCGCACTATGGCTGAAATCGCCATTTTGGCGGCAAAAAGTCATTTTTCAACTTAAAATTTTTCAAAATTTGTTAATGGCATTCAATACACCACATACTGATAAGAAAAAATTGAAAAAAGTTTTTACTGTTGGCAGCCCTGTTTATGTACAATTAGCTGTTAATGTTTACAATACTTTTAGCACGCTTTATTACAATTGAAGCAGCAATATTTTCGTAAAAATAAAAGCCGTTTTTTAATTTAATAATATATGTTTGAAAAAAATCTTGATAATTATGAATTCTAATACTCGAGTAGGGTATTTTTACTATATAAAAATATAATTTGCTAAATGTTTGTTCTTCGGACATATGTTGGTGTTTTGTGTGTGTATTTTTTGGTGAAATTTTGAATAGTTTTATCGTTTTCCGTGGAGTAAAACTAAAGTTGTAACAAAGTGTTACAAGAACTATTTCTATGTGATTGTTTGCAGAAAACCCTAGTTTTATGTCATGCTAAAATTGTCTGCAAATGACTGCTAATAAACGAATTATTAATATTTTAGCAGAAAACTCAGGATCAAAAATTACATAAAAAGAAATATTCCATACGAAATTGACAGTAAATTAAGAAAATTAATATTTATTAAAGCTTGGAATTTATCTAATTATGTAACTAAAATGGAATATACTTCACAGAAGTGAGAATAAATATAGAAATGAAATATTGTGTACAATGGATGCTGAAGAATCGGTCCTAGTTTTGAGCTACGGGTCTAATGGTTCAACCGGCCACAGTTTTGTTAAACAAATATTTTGTTAATATAGTTTCTATCCGTACCTACTTGTGACATTACTAAAATTCCATTTAACTTTCAAATAAATTCATTTGAAATTCGTAATATTTGTTTTAAAATTAATAACATTTCAATTTAAATTGGAAAAATGTTATTGGAAACACCCAAAAAATGTGTAACACATTAAGGTGGGTAAAAATGTATGTACATATTAATGTAATATATTCAAAGTAAATTTGACATGATTGTCATGGAATTACATATATATATATATATATATATATATTTTATGAATTTGTCATCTATATATATATATATATATATATGCGTGTAGTTTTTTTAATACTATTTTTCACTATATAAAAAAAAATCTACCCCACTTATTATTCAATTTATTTATTTTATTCGAATTTGAAATAAAATGTTAAGAATTTGAAATGAATTTTTACGAATTACAACTGAAATATTATGATTTACAAGTGAAATTTTATGAATTTCAAATTGAATTCATTGAATTTCAAATGAAACTCTACGAATTTCAAATAAAAATTTACAAATTACAAATGAAATTCTTAAAAATTCAGATGGAATTTGTTGAATTACATTTGAAAAGTTTAAAATTACAAATGAATTGTTGTGAATTGCAGATTAAATACTCGAATTACAACTGAAATGTTATGAATTGCAAATTGAATTTTCGAATTACAAATGAAATTCTCGAATTGCAATTGAAATATTTTGAATAACATTTGAAAAAGGTGTAGTCTAATATTCATAATTTTTTGTAGGGAGATTTTCAATACACTGAGAATCCAAAATACCAAATTTCAGCCAATTCCGTTGAAAAACGAAACCAACATTGCCAAAATACCCAACATGCGGGGGGCGTGACCCGCCCATTTTTTCTTATTTCACTTTTTCTAACATTAGAATTCTACACTCCAAATTTGGGGAAGCTAGCATGACTGAATATATTTTATGCCGCTAAAATCGCGATTTCAGCCATAGTGCACCGTTGGATTCCGATGTTCCAGTGAGGAGTTATCATGCCCGCCATCAAAAATAAGGACTTTTCTTTAATCAAAAAAAAAACAACAAGACAACAAAAATTTTTGTAATTTATTTTTCTTCCTTTTTAAATCTTCAAATATATATGTGCAAAGTTACAAACCTTAACAAGTATTTGTATTGATTTACCAGCCAATTTAAAATCTTAAAAATAAAAAATCGAGAATGGGTGGGGTTCATTTAAGCTTATATTTGTCAATTATTGAAAATTTTCTAAATATTTTATCTTTTCAATTGGATTGTCATAATTTTACAACAATTTTATATGAAAATAGAAAAAATAACTGAGAATTATATCATTGTTCATTTAAGCTTATATTTGTCAATTATTGAAAATTTTCAAAATATTTTATCTTTTCAATTGGATTGTCATTATTTTACAACAATTTTATATGAAAATAGAAAAAATAACTGAGAATTATATCATTGTATGTACACGCGATCATGGTATGATGATGACTTTCTGAATCGAGTTCGTGTTCATTCAGTGAATTCCAATTCTGAGATTAACGTCCTAGATTATTTTGTTTGGAAATAATGTATCCTATGTGTAGTAATTTGTTAGATATATTAGGAATATTTGTAGATCTTTAATAAAATGCAAATATATCATATAAAGTAATACTAATAATAAGACACCGCATGACTTTTTGCCCACTAGGTATCAAACGTACCGAATTATATACAATTCCATAGGAACATGTTGTTATGACGTAAAATCTTGCTATGTCACGAACATTTATATGTATAATCGTTGTCAATATCTTGGAACTTATACCAAAATGTATAGAGATGGTATTTACCGGGTAAATACACTTTTGCGGGTATTTATTTGGGTATTTACTATACTGAATCGCTAATACAACATCTTACACCCTATTTCCGGGTTTCTGTTATCAAATCTTTTTAAATTGGATATTTTTATAATACTTTAAACATGTGAGTAAATAAATAATAAAGTATTAAACCACTTGACACATGCGGGCAAAATTTGGCTAACATTTTTTAATATCAAAACAACCACTAGTAAGGAAAATGGTGTCTCTGGGTCCACGTTCTGATATAGCCCTCACACAACCGTACCATCCGATTTAAGGTATTTTTAACTATTATCCTCATTTTACAATCAAATTGCCTGTAATTTAGCCCAGAGATTTTTCAATGTGCACAAAACATTCAAAAATTGTCGTCATAGGTCCACATTTTCTGGGAGCCCCCATATATGTTTACCTCATTTTGAGTATTAACCCATATATTGCGTATAAACTATTTAAGAGCCGCACCACTTGACACAGGCCTTCAAAATTTGGCTCGGATGGTTTTTATATAAAACCAACGTATGTCATGGAATATGGGCCTCTGGGTCCATGTTTTGAGCAAGATTATTCTGAATAATAGTACATTAGCAGCCTTCATCTATACCACATTAGCCGCCCATGGAATAATTAAACAAATTATTAATTAAAAAAGACTTAGTGAATAGATTATTTTACTTTGATTTGAGTGCTATTAATCCTTGCCTTTGACTTATGAATACCAACCTTTTTTAAGGTAAGCGTTTCTTTGTAAAAACAATTTTTAACTGAATATCAAAATGGTCATCCATAACACCAACATAAATTTTGCCAATAAAAATAACAAATAAATGGGATTAGAATCGTTATTGCAATGAAAAAAAACTCTGCTGTACCAAATTACCCGTCTTTATCCGAATTTACTCTAATTGTCAATATTGCCATATGCAATTTTTATGCTTGTTTACACGGCATCAATAAAAATCGTCAAAAGTTTTGTTCATTAAATTTTGATCAACACATTTTTTAGAAAAGCAAATATTTTTCTTTCTATAGTTAATGCAAAAATGTATCTTTAGTATATAATATCGACTTACCCTTATTGTAGCATCAGCCATTAAGCAATAGGGTTGATTCTGATACTGCTGAATTTCACCAATAATTTCCGAAACTTTCCGTCGTTTTGAAAAATTAATAAGTTGGGTATTGGGCAAAAAGTCGGGATTGCCTTCCTCTAAATGTAATATGTTAGTTAAATAACGACCAAAAAAAGGGACACAAGGCGGATTTATAGATCGCAACCGTTCTTGATATTTTTTTAAATGTCCGTCATTCATTTCACGACATTCTTCCAAAAATTTTTCATAACGCGCCGGTAGACCTTGGAATGTTAATTTTAAGCGATATACGGAAGCACTGCCCATTGCGGCGCTTATAGATAATATTCCATTAAAGTTATTTAATTCCAGCATTACCATCATTACTTCTATTGCCCGGGTTACCATAGCCACACGTTCTTCGTAGTTTTCAGCTTCAATTATAGTTTTTTCAATCCAACGTGTAACGTTTGTGGTATGTTTCATAATTTTAAGCAAATTTGGACTTTTTAGTTCCTTGTCCTTCTTTGTCCATGGCGATCCCACCAACTCCGATGGCTTCACATTTTTATAGAGTTCAAATTCCAGTAAAGTAAGTTGTCTGGCCAACTCCAACGGATGCAATGTTAAAAGAGTAATCTCAGATTCTGGTACATTGAGGTGGTGTTCAATAGGAGGAGGGCTATGACCATATGCAAACGTGATTTGTTTTTGATATTTTTCTTGCTCGCTCTAAATAATAAAAAACATGCAAGATATAAAATTAGTATTTTTATATATAAATAATTAATAAATTTTATAATGATGGAATATCCATATTATGAAATTTTACGGTTGTCAACTGGTAATTTTTCGTTAGTTCAGTATTTATATTTTTCAGTGGGTAAAAAATATCCATCAACAATTTTTTACCATTTTATATATTAGGTTGGGGAAAATGAAATTCATTCATACAAAGTCAACCCCTATAAGTAGTTTTTTTTTTAAGAAATAAGTTTAATATAAAGTGAGTAAAAGTCCATAAAATGTGGGAGAATAATTGCTAGCATTTTGACATCAACATAAGAAACAGTATATTAAGCAACCTCTTGAATGCACAAATTAAAAATTCTTTGTTAATGTGTACAAATAGTTCTTAATACAATGTTTTGCCAAAAATATACTAAAATACTTTTATTTGAAAATTAATTCTTTATTATTTCTTTTTAAGTGTTATTTTACAATGACGTAGAACGTAACTTTTTTTATAATTCTAATTATTTAATTAAAATAATATCATTCCAACCCTTTAATATTTTAACGTACAAAGTTGTGAAAATCCCGTGTACCCGGGAATGAAAAAAGTCGGGAATTCCCAATCCTGCCTACGGCGAGCATAGCTGAATGCTAACGGACGCGTCCACAGGTTGCGGATAGTGGGAAGCCCAACGCCATTCGTTGGGCAACTGTGAATAACCAATAAACAGTCGCGGACAATCAGCGGGCTCAGGGGGAGAGTCTCGGAGGAAATGACCGAGTGCCTATGATCCCTGGGCTGACGAGGCGAGAATGGCGCCCCCTCTCCTATATCCATTTAAAAAGGTTTGGGACACTACCTTCTTAAAGTGTCTCCCCTAACGCTGGGGTGTCATGCGACCTTGTGCCTATCAGCGTTCCACGGTTTGCAGTCAGGGTACCGACTGTATTAAAACGGAGCCTCGTTGATTTCCTGGGCGCCTCAACAAGTGTTTCAGGCTTAGTTGCCAAGTCCTTGCCATGGTAAGAGGCTATGCCATGGTCGACCTCAAACCCTCACACACAGCACTTACTATGGAGCCGTCTTTACTAACCCCCAAAGGGTAAACTGAGCACTGAGACGTCCCATACATCAGAATCCACAAAGACAGAAGGCAGGGGACTGTCGAAATCGGCCCGAAAGTGAGCCCGTAAAAAGGCATCCAAGAAGACCGATAAGGCAGAACCGCCCTCTGTAAATCCACCTTCTGCCGAATTGCTAAAGCTGACAGCCAAGGCGGTGACAATTGGGCAGTCGCCAGTGGATAAGCAGAAGGTAGCGGACGCGAAGCTGTTACCTGCGTCTGCTGGGCATACCTCTGCAGTAGTTGCTACTCCGGGTGCCAAATCTCGGCTACAGCCCACGGATGTCAAGAGAATGAGGTCCTCGGAGGAGCAACAACCTGCTGCAAAGAGGCCCACGCAGTCGTCGGCCGTACAGAGCTCTGCTTCGTTTGCGTCGGTGGTAGCGTCGAAGGAGAAACCTGCCAAGAGCAGCGATTGTGGGGTGAAAGCCAAACACGCTGTCTCGAAGCAGGTAGCCCAGACACATACAACTGCGCAAAGCGACTCTGCTGATTCGAAAGAGGTTCCGGAAGATCTGCGGGTAGCGATCATCGACCGAGCTGACCCCGATGGGTTCATCAGTGAGGATAGATGGGAGCTGGTCGACGGTTATCTGAAGGACCTCTTCCTATCCGACGAGGTTGATCGAGAGATTTCCGATTTCCTTAAGAAGACAATCAACAACCTGGACCCCCTTTGGGAGGGTGGTCGTCTGGCAGCCGTAGCGGTCCGAGAGATGCCGAGCGGTATGGTAACCTCGGTGTTTATCCCAAAACCGTTCAAGGGGCTGGAGAAGACACTGAGGTTATTGGAGAAGCAGAACGACAGCCTTCAGATGAAGAGGTGGAGAATCCTCGCCTCATCTGAAAGGAACGGCGGTGTAGTCGCGAAGTTCGATACCGATTCTGCGGGAGAGGAGTACTTGAGGAAGAACAAGGGGGAGGTTGTTTATGGAATGGGGAAACTTTGTTTCCGCCTCCCAACTCCAAAACAATAAGCAGGCAGCAGCAAGCGCTTAATGTGATTCAGATCAATCTGCATCACTGTAGAGCAGCAGCTGCTGAACTGCTACTCACCCTCTCTTCCTCAAGCACCGACGTGGCGCTCATTCAGGAGCCTTACCTATACAAAGGCAAGGTGACTGAACTGAGCGACATAAAATACACGATTTTGTCTACCTCCAATGGAGAGAAGGTGAGAATGTGTATTCTTGCTAAAAAAGAGCTAAATTTAATGCTTCTTTCTAATTTCAGCAATGGAGATATGACGGCAGCAAGACTAGACAGAGGTACCTCGAAGCCACTGATAGTCTCTGCCGTCTATCTTCCCTATGAGGCTCCTGACCCGCCCGGTACTGTGGTATGCCGCCTATTGGAGGAGATGGGCTAAGTTGGTGATATCATCATCGGATGTGACGCCAACGCATATCACTTCCATTGGGGAAGCAGCAACACAAATACAAGAGGTGAGTCCATTTTCGAGTTCATACTTAGCTATAATCTTAGAATTTGTAATAGAGGCAATACACCAACTTTTGTAAATAGGGTGAGAGGTGAAGTCATCGACATAACCCTCACAAATATGGACGACTCTGGGGTCATAAACTCGGAGGTGTCTGAGAAATGCTCCTTCTCGGATCATAGACTCATATCCTTCCAGATTCCTACCTCTCGAGTTAAACAGAAACCTTATAGGAATCCTCGGAAGACGAACTGGGACAAATTCAAAGCTAAAACAGCAGTCTCTATCCGGGATCGTAATGATCTCAAAACGACTGAGGATGTTGAATTAGCTGCGAAAAATGTCACGGCCACTCTTCTGAAGAGCTATGAGGCCTCTTGTCCCCTAACATACCCTGGGAAGAAATCTCAGCCGGTATGGTGGTCATAAGACCTTGCAACCTTGCGGAAGGCTGCAAGGAAAGCTTATAATAGAGCTATTAAGGCAAAGCTCAGTACAGATTGGGATGTTTATAAATTCAATAGGAAATCAAGAAAGCTAAACGTGAGCCTTGGGTCTGCTATAGTGAGTCGATCGAAGGAGTCAGCGAAGCGGCCAGATTCCGCAGAGTACTATCTAAGGATACAAAATCCATAGGAATTATTAAGCGAAGTGATGGTACGTGGACTAACTCTGGTAGTGAGACTCTTGATCTTCTATCATCAACCCACTTTCCTGGTTGCAAGGACTATAGGGGAGACGCGCAGTGTGTGCATCAGTCTGCAGTTCGGACGAGGGAAGAGGAGAAGATGATAGAAGATACTATAAGATACCCAAAACTGGTATGGGCGATAAACAGTTTTCAACCCCATAAATCTGCTGGTCCAGATGGTATAATACCGGCCATGCTGCAACACGCAGATGAACGTATTATATCATTTCTGCAGGACATTTTTAGAGCTTGTTTACTTTTGTCGTACATACCAAGTCTATGGAAAGAGGTTACCGTGACCTTCATCCCGAAAGCCGGGAAGCCGAGTCATACGTTACCTAAAGACTATAGGCCGATTAGCCTTTATTCCTTTCTACTAAAAAGTTTAGAAAGGTTACTAGACTCAGAAATTAGAAATACCATTGACCGTGGTAAACTTAGTAAATCCCAGCATGCCTACATCAAAGGCAAATCAGTGGATACAGCTCTGCATGAGGTGGTTGGATGAATCGAGAAGAATATGGAGTCATTTGGCTACACGTTGGCAGCATTCTTCGATATCGAAGGAGCTTTCAACAATGTGAAGCTAGAGGTAATCCATTCTGCTCTCGTAGGCATATGTATCCCCTCACTCCTTACGGAATGGATTGATAGAATGCTGGAAAGCAGAATTATCAACTCATCCTTAGGAGAGAGTTCCGTGAGGAAATCTGTCAACAGAGGCACACCTCAGGGAGGAGTACTTTCCCCCCTTTTATGGCTTTTGGTGATAAATGAGATACTTATGAAATTCAATCATCTCAGGATAAAGGTTGTAGCCTATGCCGATGATGTAGTCTTGCTGGTTGGGGGTAAGTTTATAACGACAATATCAGACATCCTGGAGGGTGCCCTTTCAACCCTGTCAAATTGGGCTTGCACCAAGGGTCTTGGTGTAAACCCCACTAAAACCGAACTGGTGCTCTTCACTAGGAAACACAAAATTCCTAGTTTCCGCTTGCCATCACTTGGTGGAGTGACTTTAACCCTTTCTGATGCAGCTAAATATCTTGGCACTATCCTAGACCGTAAGTTACTGTGGAATAGGAATGTTGAGGAACGCTCTAAGAAGGGATTGCTGGCACTCTATTCATGCAAGAACTCCATAGGCAAGAGTTGGGGATTTAGACCCGGAATTATACACTGGCTGTATACGACGATTGTCTTACCCATACTTACTTATGGTTGTCTTGTCTGGTGGCAGGGGGTGAACAAAAATAAGCTGCTGACAAAACTGAACTTAGTACAGCGATGGGCTTCAATTCTGACCGGAGCATTAAGAAGTACACCACAGGCAGCCTTGAATGCAATCTTGAATCTCCAACCATTGGATATTCTGATCAAATTCCAGGCGGCCAGGTGTTCCCTAAGACTCCGGGAAACAGATGCCTTGAAATCGCTGAACTATGATCATGCCAGCATCCTAAACATAACGCCAGGTTATGACCTTTTTAGGGGGGATAGTCATATCAGTGATTATATTCCCCCTCAAGGGACTTTAATGACATCAAAGTTGAATTTCCTAGTAGGGAATCCTGGACTAGTGGCTCCCTACCTCTGCCAGGTCTGTCAATCTTCACAGACGGGTCCAAGATGGAGGAAGGCACTGGTGCAGGCGTCTACTATAGGGAATTAGGTATACAGAACTCATATAAACTCAACAATGACTGTAGCGTTTTTCAAGCAGAGATTCTCACAATCA